ACCACCAACCCTGGACAAAATCAAGCAGCCACCACGAGAGGAGGAACACCACCACCACGGCGGCGGCGGAAAAAGACCACTACTACTTGGGCACGAAGACCAAGGCGGCGAATGAAAAAGACGGTCCGAAGAAAACGGTTCCCAAGAAAGACCCACAAAAAAGATCGTCTTTTGATGCACAATTGATGAATGAAGATGTGAAAATGGTGGGGAGGAGCTCTGTTTCTTCAATCCCTCCTCCAATGGCGAACGGAGGAGGAGGGAGGAGGAGGTCATTTTGCAGCTCGCAGGTTGAGCTGGCTGACTTCTTCTCCGCCACCGGTGTCAGGGTTGTCGCCGTCGATATGCCGCCGTTCATGCAGATTCACGCCGTCGATTGTGCCAGGAAGGCGCACGATAGCCTCGAGAAGTTCACCTCCAAGACTCTTGCTTTCACACTCAAAAAGGTTTTTTTTTTTAATCATTAATAAATTATTCATTTTTTTTGATGATTTCTCATACCCTTTTTTCTATTATTTTGTATGATTATTGTCTTTTTATTCCGCAAATCGCACGAGAAATGTAAACTACACCAGACTAACTAACGATGTGTTACGAGTTCGACCTAGAAAGTAGGTGGAAACTCAATTCGGGTCAAATTCGTACTTCTTGATCCATCAATTAGGTGGCCCTTGTGTTTCTTGATTAGTCATACTATTGTTCTTGATTAGTCGTAGCTCATAAGATAGTTTAGTCCTTGTTCGGTTGTGTAGATTATCCATGATTAACTAAATAATTGAACTTTATTTGATTTTTGGTATCCCAATAATTTGCCAGGTCGACTCGCAAATATTATGTTTTCATGCCTTATCTTACCTTCCAGACAAGTTGCTTATTGGTTCATCGAAGGTCCAATAATGTAGTTGTGTTTTATCAGATTATTTAATCTTATCTTGACAACCAAATGAGCCAAACGAGCCAGACAAGTTGTTTATTGGTTCATCGAAAGTCCAATAGTGTAATTGTGTTTTATCAGATTATTTAATCTTATCTTGTCAACCAAAACGAGGTTTTATGTTCTTGATTAGTCATACTATGTTGATTGGAGTTATATAACTCATAAGATAGTCATGTTCTTGATTAGTCACAAGATAGTTACAAGTGATTGATGTTAGTTTTTATTTTAATTTTATTTAATTTTGGGTGCAGGAGTTTGATGGTGTATATGGACCAGCTTGGCACTGCATAGTAGGGACAAGTTTTGGATCATTTGTCACACATTCAGTAGGTGGATTTATGTACTTTTCTATGGATCACAAGATTTACATCCTCCTCTTCAAGACCACTGTACAAAGAGCCCAAGAATTAAATTAAATTTATATTTAAATTTCATCAACACTAATTTCATAATAGACAGTGTTTTTTGTAATTGGAAAGAAAGGACATTTTGCTTGTCTCCCCCTTTGTAGTTTGTACATCATTAATGAATGGCTATACCAAGAAAATGTTTGCTCTTTTGCTGTATGGTCCTTCCATTTTGAAGAAATTGTCAAAAGGCCCTTTATGGAAGAAGTGTGGGGGGCAAGAGAAGTGTTGTGTAGTTAAAGTTAGATCACATGATGTAATAATAATATGTCTTTTGCTATAGATTCTATCAAAATTTGGCCCCTTTTAATTTGTTGCAGTAAATTATTGGAAATACAAGAAAATTGATGGTTGTGTCAGTTCATATAGAGACACCTATTTGACTTCCTATTGTTATTATGAATTGCTTTTGTGCCTTTGAGTGTTTAAGTGACCATATATTACTTTTTATGATATTATTTATTGTAGGGAACCAAAAACCAGGCAGAAAATCAATCCAACCCATCTAACCAACTTTGGTAAATATTAGAAACTGTTATCGACCCATTTTACATGGGTTGGGTGATAGTTGAAAACCAATTTGGTGGGTCGGTTGGTGTGGTTTGGTGGATGGGTCATCCATCTAAATATTTTTTTTTTTAATATTTTATTAGTTGTTACAACGCTATATCTTTTATAAATTAAATGTGACTAGTTCAACAATATTCAAATAAAAGATTCAAAACATTACGGGCATATATATTGCAATTAAACATAAATATTTCAACAAATAATAATCGTCCAAATATTTAAGCTATGTTTTAAAATTAAAATAGTTCAAATTAGATAATTATGTTAGATTTATTGCTTTTAGGATTTTGGTCAATATTAGACAATTTAATAAATGTGATATAAAATAGAAATTTGAAATAAAAAATATTAAACATTTTAATTAAAATTAATAAATAATAAATTAATAAATAAAGTTGGTTGGCCGATATTATCCGACTAACCAACTTTTTAGCATATTAGAAACCATTATCGACCCAACTATACATGGGTTGGTTGATATTATCGACCCAACTTAAATGGGTCAGTTGATGGTTGATTATCCATCATAAATTATGGGTCGAAAATGGGTTGGTTGGTGGTTAAAACCGATCCATGCACAACCCTAATTTATAGGACTTCGGGCGCAACAAGTTGTTCTAAAATTGGTTGGTGTTGAGAAAATTGCTAACTTTAGGTCTTATATTGCATTAGTATGCTAGAGCGCCCATGGTATTCCATTGTGGGCCGTCTATACACGAGCCTTCCCACGTGGACAGTTGTTGTCAAGCCCAAGCAAATAAGACTCCTAGTAGTATTTGTGTAAATAAGGGATTCGATGGCTCAATAGAAGTTCGAATTGAGATTCAAGTGCTCAAGCTTTGAGCTAATATATATTTGGGCTAAATTACAACCACCCCTAAGTCATGGTCAAATTACAAAAAAAATCATTTTATTTGGATAATTACATCTACCCCTTCAACTATGATTTTTTCTTACACTTCCACCCTTAAGATATCAAATTCAGCATAATCATCTAGATTTCGTGGAATGTGCTCTATTTTGTACTCGTTTTGTGTAAAAACACAGTTTTCGATGCATCACAATCTGATACATACAAGCCAAAAAAACACATATCATGATTATCTTGTTTCAAAATGTGGAGTTCAAATGGGATAAAGCGGGTACAAAATTGATAATATTACATACAATCTCGAAGATTCCACTAAATTTGAAACTGATGGTGGACGTGTAAGAAGATTTATAGTTGATGAGGGTGGTTGTAATTATCCAAACAAGAGGGGGGTTTTCGTAATTTGACCATATCTCAGGAATTTGGTTGTAATTTACCCAATATATTTGACTATTCAAAAATCCATAAATTGAATACTCGTTTATGCCATAAGTGTACAAGTTATATAACTAATAAGATAATTAATTTTGAACTCTCCAAGTAGACTCACTCGATAACTTAACTATTAGCGGAACCAGAATTTTAAGTCTAGAGGAATCGAATACATTAAAAGAAATACCGAAAATGGGCTATTAATACTAGTTTACACATTTTTTAAAAATATTTTTATATAGATCAACGGAGACTTCGGATATGTTAAAGAGTCGTGGCCTCCTGGTCGCATGCTGGCTCCGCCACTGACCTTAACTCCTATTCTGAATAGTAATAGAAAAAGAAAGTGCACATAACACATGAAAACAATACTGCAATTACAACATTATTACTAAATAAATAAATAATTCTTGGGTGAAAAAAAAAGGTATTCACCTTCTTTCCAAGAGAAGCAAAAGGGTTGAATTCTTGAAATTAAAATCTTGTGAATGAGAAGAAGTAAAGCTTAGTTTGTGCTTAAAATATAATTAATCAACAACTTTTTCCTACCTTTTTTATTTTTTAGTATATGGGGGAGGGGAGGCAGGAATTTACTTATTTTAAATTATTTTATTTATTATTTTAAAACTATCAATGCAACATCAATTAGTATAAAATAATAATATTAATAATGACCCACTTAATGAACAAATCTAGAGCTACCCACTTTGTTGCCACTAATTAACAAATCATGGAAATTAAATTAACTTGGTTTGTTTATATGATATGGAGGACAATATATATACCTTTTTGTCACTATTTCAAAGTATTGTAACCACAATTCATGACATTAGTGGGACAGATAAATAATGCAAATTATTCATAGTTGACCTAAATAAATAATGCAATTAAATCTTAATTAATTGGCCATACATAAATATAAATAGGGCAGTCCTAAACTTAAAGGGCCTTCGGCAATAATTAAGAGACCCTCTATGCATCATGGCCGATCTTGATTTATAGGTAGCCTAGGCAAAAAGAAATTAAATACATAATAAATAAAAAATAAAAAATATGCTATAATAACTTTAAGGTTCATGTGGTATTGATCATTACTACTATACCTCTGAAAAAATTAGCGGTGCCAAGATTTCGTGCCATGGAAACTGATATACACTATATTTATTTTATGCGGGGCCGTTACTATTATCATTGACGAAAATATATAAATTTTATATAAAATAATAAGGATTTAAGAAATGTTAGGGAAGCCATGTCACACCCTAACTCGATGTTGTCTCTATCGCTTCTAGAAACTAATTGTTCTTCAGGAACCTACCCGAATAACTTATCTAATGCATTATTCCGTTAGGGTTTCAAAAATTTTTAGAGGGTTACTGTAATTACCGACACCACAAGGAGCTTAAAGTTATTTTAGCATATTGTTGTGACCCGAGATGTCAGAGATGATGACGTCAGCTCCTTGGAAGATATCTTGAATGAGAGTCCTGAGATTCTGCTGGAAGGGTACCTGCAACGTCGTGGAGGGGCTTTCCCGACGTAGAGTCTCCGACGATCAAGTTAGAAATCAGTTTGTATTCAAAGTATAATGTTATATGTATGTGTTTTTCGTGTGTGAGGTTGTTAAGATGACTTCCCTTTTATAGACATTTCTTGTCTTGGAGGTCAAGGTTTTCTATTAGCGTATCTATCTATTATTATTCTTATTCCTATTATTATTCTTATTTATTAGGTTACCTTGTATATTAGGTTTCCTTGTATATTAGGTTACCTTGTGTAGTAGGTTAGGGTTTCCTACATGTAACTATATATATGACTAATATACGTAAGAGATATCATTCTCTCTTTTCTCCAAATATATTTCTCCTATATGGTATCAGACACTAGGTTAACCTAGCCGTCACCACCTCTTCTTCTCTTTTTTCTGCATAGCCGTGCCCTACCCCCTTATTCTCCATGGCCGGCGAATCTTCATCTTCTTCTTCCTCCACCGCCCCTCTCAATCCTTTTCACCTTGCTCATGCCATCTCTAATATCAAATCCCTTATCCCCATTACTCTAGATCTAAAAAATCCTAATTATCAAAAGTGGAGCCACTTTTTCACGATTATCGTCGGTCGTTTCTGCCTCTCCGATCTTCTCCATGGCAAACCCCGACCGGATTCGATTTCCGCCGACGAATGGCAGCGAGCCGAATATCTCCTCCAATCTTGGATCTACGGCACCATCTCCGACGATCTATCCAGCATGGTTCTCTCAAAAACCTCCACCGCCAGTGATCTATGGAACGCCATCTCTTCTCTCTTCACCGATAACAAAGACTATCGGGCCATTCAACTTGAAGAAAAATTCAAGTCCCTCAAGAAAGGCGCTCTCTCCATTCACGATTATTGCCAAATAATCAAGACCACGGCGGACAGCTTGGCCGATGTCGGAAATCCAATCTCCGACAAACAACTCGTTCTACAAACCCTACACGGCCTTCCGAAAAATTACGGGACCGTCGCCAATCTCATCTCCTTTCAAAATCCCCTTCCCACCTTTCTACAGACTCGTTCGCTCCTTCAGATGGAAGAAACAAGAATTTCTGAACCGGAGCAGACCGCTGCTGTTTTCTACGCCTCCAACGCGAACTGTCCATCCAACAGTTGCAACAGTTCCTGCAACAGTTCCCGCGGAGGTAGTTCTTCGCGCTATCAGCGCGGGGGTGGCCGATCCAACCGTCGCGGAGGTCGCTGCACTAACCGTCACCCCATGCAGCACTACGGCTATCATAGTGCTCATGGCGCATCTCAACTTTGGCGCGCACCTTACCGACAACAGTCAATTCTGGGATCCGCTCAAAATACATCGGGCCACCCAGCGGCTCAAGCCTACTTTACTGGACCACCTGAACCTTGCACCGGTCACTCGGCTCCTACTCAGGCTCATCCGCAGCAGCAACCGTGCCACAGCTCCAGCAGTTCCATCAACAGTTGCAACAGTTCCTGCAACAGTGCCAGCGTGGTGGATCTCGCAAACCGTTTGAATACGGTGACACTTCAGCAGCCTACCGAGTCACAGTGGTTCATGGACAGCGGGGCGACCTCTCATATGGCACCACACTCAGGTAATTTCAATTTTGTTTTTAATCCTGGAAGTAAATTCCCCAAACATGTCGTCGTCGGTAATGGTTCCACCCTCCCCATAACCCACATAGGCCACACAATTCTTCCTACCACCCATTTCCGCCTCACAAATGTCTATGTCACACCCAATATCGTCAAACACCTTATATCTGTTCGAAAGTTCACCCGTGATAACTCATGTTCGGTTGAATTTGATCCATTTGGTTTTTCTGTGAAGGATCTTCGGAGTCGAGTCGAGATTTTCAGATGCAATAGCTCCGGTGACCTATATCCGTTTAGCGTCCCTCCCCCCACCTCACCTCCTGCTTC